TTGATGGAAAGGCAAACCATGAGAATGCAGAATAGGTTTTAACCTTTACCAAATGTAAGGTTTGAAATATTAATTGTATGCATGTACTTAGCACATAAGGGTTTTATATAAGATTGTTTAACTATCAAAATGGTCTTTAAAAAGGCCCTTACAAAGCCGTACGTTATTATTACAAATAATGACATTTTGCTTGTGCAGGATATTTTTCCCCCAGTAATATAAAACTCTTCCTTTGGAAGAAGACAATGAAGATGCTTACTTACCTAGAGTTATATTCATAACATTTTTAATGTAAATCAGTCTTATAAATATTTTTTTAAAAAATACACTTGATATGGAGATTAGAGGCAAGTTTGCTCTAGTTTAGAAAAAAATAGGTTGGAATGCAACCTTGGAATGATTTATTATACTACTTTTGAGCAAACATTTAAGTACATGGATCTAGGAACATATAATTTTTCTACATATGACCATGAAGAAATAAAGAAAAGAAATAGTTTAATTTTAATATAAATAAAATTAATCTTGTTCATCTTTTTAAAAAGTTGATTAATAATTTTATTTATTTTTATGTTTCTTTAAATTGTATAAAGTAGTGTTACTGTTTAAAATTGGTTACAAATCACATACTCATTTTAAGAAGAAATGTATAAAATTATTGAAGCTTTACTGGAATAGAATGATTTAAGCTCAAATATTAACTTTTTTCCTGAAAAAATGGAAATGTTTTTGCACATTAAAAAAAAATTAATTTGCATTTCCAGGTACAAGAAAAAATTAACACAATTATACAGAAATAATAATGAATACTATATGTTGTTTTGCTAATATATTATAATTATTTAATTTGGGTGAAGGAACACAAAATATACATCTTCTTTGAGGATATGTTTAATGATATGAATGGTAATTAGTATTTATTAGGTAACATTTTGTACAAAGTTTAATGTCTGTAATTTCACATGATTCAATTTATAGTATAGTGTAATTCAACATTTGTACTACACTACAACTGTGAACCTATGACAGAAAAGTAAACAAAAATCACAAGCGTAAAACTGGACAAACAAAACATTTTGGAAACATATGTAGGGTATGTATCAAATTATGTCTTTATTTGTTAAAATATATAGATTTTGGGAACATTAAATGAAAAAATTATGAGATTGAAGCTAAGATTTATTTTTTTATTAGTGCTACTTACTGAAAACTGCTTAGTAGGCATGTATATGATAAAACTACCATTCAATTCAAAATATCTCAGTTGTAATAAAACTACTAAAACAAATCTATTACTTTTCTGCATTTCTGTATACATACATTTCTGCATATGAACTGGAAAGCAAAAACATAGTGAATATTTCCTCTATGCCAGCGGTCACCAACCAGTCACTGGTGGTCCACAAGCGGTCACTGGTGGCACCCCCAGAGCACCCCCAAAGCAATTAATCCAGGCTGCACAGCAAAACAAGGCTGCACCACCCACATGGCCCGCCCTCCCGACCCACTCACTCCTTACCTGGCAAACTTGCCTGCTAAGGTGCTATTTTTCCTTTTTCCGACCATCAGCTGTTCTGCTGTGCTGGGAGATTTAGATTAGCTAGAAAGCAGGAAATCATTGGATTTCTTGTTTTCTAGCTAATCTTTAGATCTTTGGCTCTGGTTTTAAGTAGAGCTGAATCTTCCTTAGGACTGAAGCAGTGCAGACTTAGCTAGCTGATGGCAGAAACACAGATCTCAAAGTGAAACTGATCTGTAAGCAACTCAATCTGCCTGCCTGCTTTGCCTGATTTGGGGTAAAAGTTGCTCTTTTTTATAAAAAAATCAATATTTACATACATGGTGTGTTGTGAGTTAATTTTGTGAGTTTGTTTGCTAGCAAATGTTATGTGACAGATTCAGCTAGGCAATAGCAGAAGGATAGATCTCTGAATGAATCTGTGATTCTGTGAGCAACACAATCTGCCTGCCTGCTCTGCCTGATTTGGGGTGAAAGTTGCTCTTTTTTATGAAAAATTCAATATTTATATAAATATTTATAATATTTACATACAAGCCCTGCCAGCCAATCACATGACCACCAAGCCACACTCACAAATTAGGCCATGCCCACAGAACCAATTGTTAAGAAATTTGAATTCCACCCCGCCTCTATGTGTTTGTGTGTGTGAGAGAGAGAGGGAGAACAGAGAGAGAGTGAGAGAGTGAGAGAGAGAAAGAGAAATATGGAGGGAGAGTGGTTAGGTCAGATCTCTCTCTCTCTCCCACCAATGTCAGCAAGCCACCATCAATCAAAATTTGTATCAGTGGTCCCCGGGGTTTAAAATTATGAGTTTAGTGGTCGCTGAGGTCCAAAAGGTTGGTGATCCCTGCAAGCATCTCACATTGTGGAACTTAATTTCTCTGTAGAAAATATTCTTTTATTTCAGAATAACTCGGCTTTTATTTTTAAAAGATCTTGCTTTCATATCTACATCTTCAAAAATCACACACTATAATGTAGCAATGCAAAATACCTTTGCTTTAAAACCTAGCCCATTGTATGTATCACTTGAAAAGCTTTGTGAACTGTTTCCTGGACCCCATGTCTAAAAATTAGCAGTCAGCATGGGTATGTTAAAAACAGATCATGCCAAACCAATCTTATTTCATTCTTCAGCACAGTGACTAAATTAGTAGACCAGCAAAATACTATGGACATAATATATTTAGATTTCAGCAAGGCATTCGACAAAGTAGATCACAACCTGCTTTTTAGTAAGCTAGAAAAAAGTGGAATAGATAGCACCACCACTAGATGGACTTGCAACTGGATGGCAAACCATACTCAACGAGTAGTCCTTAATGAGTTTAAGTCTACATGGAGGGAAGTAAGCAGTGGGGTGCCACAAGGTTCCGTCTTCGGCCCAGTACTCTTCAATATCTTCATTAACGGCTTAGATAAGGGAATAGAAGGGGAACTTACCAAATTTGCAGATGATACTAAGCTGGCAGGAATAGCTAACACCCAAAAAGATAGGCTCAAGATACAGATGGATCTTGGCAGACTAGAAAATTGGGCCATATCTAACAAAATGAAATTCAATGTAGATAAAAGTAAAGTCCTACACTTAGGCAAGAAAAACCAAAAGTACATATATAGACTGGGTGAAACCAGGCTCAATAGCAGTAACTGTGATAGGGATCGTGGAGTCTTAGTGGACAACCAGCTAAATATGAGCCAGCAGTGTGCAGCAGCCGCCAAAAAAGCTAATGCAATCCTAAATTGCATTAACAGAGGGTTACAATCAAGATCAAGGAAAGTACTAATACCACTCTATAAAGCCTTAGTAAGACCACAGCTAGAGTACTGCATTCAGTTTTGTTCACATCATTATAAAAAAGATGTTGAGACTCTAGAAAAAGTACAGAGAAGAGCAACCAGGAAGATTAGGGGACTGGAGGCTAAAATATACAACGAACGGTTGCAGGAACTAGGCTTGACTAGTCTAGTAAAGAGAAGGACCAGGGGAGACATGATAGCGGTCTTCCAATATTTGAGGGGCTGCCACAGGGAGGAAGGGGTCAAGCTATTTTCTAAAGGTCCTGTAGGCCAGGCAAGGAATAATGGATGAAAACTGAACAAGGAGAGATTTAACCTGGAAATAAGGAGAAACTTTTTGACAGTGAGAACAATCAACTAATGGAACAGCTTGCCCTCGGAAGTTGTGGGAGTGCCATCACTTGAGACTTTGAAGAAGAGAATGGACTGCTATTTGTCAGAAATGGTGTAGGGTCTCCTGCTTGGGTGGAGGGTTGGACTAGATGACCTACAAGGTCCCTTCCAACTCTGATTATCCGTTAAATCTGTTAAATTAACTAATATATTTCCTTTGTTAGTTGCAGCAATGGCTGCTTCTACCTTTACGTCTTCATGTGGAAACAGAAAGTTTCTGCTATGGCTACAAGTACTGTCCCCTTGTGGATGATTATAATGTTTTTAAGCCTTAGTTATGTCATGTTGTTCAATAACTATAATGGTACACTCATTCTCGATGTATCTGCAATTCACATTTATCTTGTTAAAATATTGCTTTCTTACCTTCCTCACAGTTTTTTTTTTTTTTTTTGAAGTTCTTCAAAACAAAAAAGCTTGTTTGTGCTTCCTGGTTGTTAATCTTTTTTTCTCAGTTGTAAAAAAAAATACAGTGGACCTTTTGCACCATCTTGAATGAAGAAATAAATGGGTTGCAAATATATTTTTTCAAACCTGTCAGAGCACTTATATAATCCTACTATTTAATAATTAACACAGTTTAATATGTAACATACATATAATGCTATAATATGTTATTTTCCAAACTATGACATGATTGAAAATGTATTTATTTATACTTTAATCTAATCCTAACCCTAACACTAAATTTAAATTATTCCAGAAATAAGTATAATCACAATATGACATTTACATCTAATTTCAAGCACATTGATATGTATACAATGTACAGTTCAATAATACATGAGCTTTCAAAAACACCCTGTGTCTTGTCCAATAAAAATATATTTATAATATATTTTATTGCTTTAATATAAAAATAATAATCCTATTGTCATACATATTTCTATATAGGCATAGCTCTATAATTTGCAGTCAATGAAATAAAACACAAAATCCGTTTCTTGCTTTTCTAAGAAATGGGATTAAAATTAATGGAAAACTAAACCATATAATGGGATAAGTTGCAGAAAAATCACAGTAATCAGTGCAAATGTTTTGAAGCTTCTATAATACAGTGGACATCACTTTATTATTTTGTAACATACTATTAAAAACATATGTAGCAACATTAATTTTGAAAATGCAATATTTCACTGCCATTCAATATAGTATGGTTGAAGGTTTTTTGTTAAATCATGGTCGTAAGGAGTTATATTTCCCCTTCAGTCCAATGAAGCAAATTGTCAGAATTGAAGTCAAAGTATTATCAGCCTTCTGTTTCACAAAATAAATTGGTTTTTAGTTATTATCAGCAATCAAATGCAACATACAAACAATCACACAGCTTCTCAGAACAAGACATAAAGACATAGAGTGCATGGTAAAGGTTGCTTGCAGTATCTTGTGGAAACCTCTCCAACCAAGTCCTCTTGGCAAAATAGTGTGATTGGAACAACCCTGGTATTGTGACCAGAAAAACTACTCTGATTTGCTGCAGACTAAGTATCATTGAATGACTCATCTGTCTTTCTCTCTGTGTCTCTCTCTCACATGCACACATACATACTCATTCTTTCTCTCACTCTAGATTTTTACACAAACATTAGGTTTAACATCCCCCTTCCTACTTTATTAACCTATTGGTATAACATGAGTTAAATCACACCTAGATATTCCCCACCCACCCAAATATGTTCCTGACACAATTATTTCTGTGAAATTGTATGTATATGTGTGTGTGTGTGTGTGTGTGCATAATTCAGCAGCTACATTCCAGAAAAAAGACAAGGCTAGGAAAAACAATTGAATTAGCATTAATTGAATAAATACCTGCTTCTTTAAATAATTGCCTATAAAATAAAGCAACTCATTTGTAAAATAAATTGATTCCTCATTTGTATAATGAATGCACTAAATACAGTTTCTCTCATACCCATATTCTTTTTCCAGGAAAAACAGCAAAGAAACATGGAAGATTGAGTTGACTAAAAGAATTAAGTATTTGCACAATGAAAGAAAGAAAAGATGAATGGGGAACAAGATACAGCAGATAGGAGACTGAACAGAAAAGGGGCAAATAGCTACAAAACCTAAATGCATAGTTAAACAAAGAACAATGAGCATAAATCTATACTTGCTTCTTTGTACTAAATCCCACACAATTTGGTGGTTTTTACTCAGAAGTTTTTTACCTTGTTCAGATTAACAATCCTTTAATAATCTATTTCCATTCAAGAAGGAACAGAATGGTAGTAACCTAGCTCTTGTTCGTCTTCTACTTACGGAAGTTGCAAAGAGACAGAAGATGAAGAGAAGCTGTCGCCAAATCTTCTGCCTCACTGAGAAATATAGTCAAAGAATTTGTGGAGTCTGAAGAAAAAAAAACCTTTTATATTTGTGGAATTTATGCCACATTAAGGCTTTATTCAGCAGATATAAGAAACTCCAAACATTACTTTAATACATTTCTCTTTCAGGAATAGCAGCAAAAATTCCAACTGTATTATGTCAATGATCTATCTATATGGTTGTTTAGACTACAGTTTGTCTCTAGCATCAAATCAAATTGATTGAAACTAGGATTCAATTTGCATAGCCACACTTGATCCCTTTTGTTTCAAATATTTTTAAATGCTTAAATTTTCTCTGAATTATTCTATTGTCATTGCTACACTCTTCTTTCTTTGGTGCTAGTTCATTGTTAACAAACTGTGTTGATTGCTTGGTTCTGACAAATTTGGGATTCAGAAATCATAAATTATATATAAATGTATTGTGTTGCTTAAGAATATTGTATATTTTTATAACAAGTTGACAATTGCTTCATGTCAAGTAAGATTATTTTTTGAGAAATAAATGAAAATATTTTACACAAAATTGAATTCAAATTAGAAAATATGTCAAATATTCTATTCTACAGATTTATTTCTTCTATCCATTCTAAGGAAACATGGGGTTTGTTTATTTATTTCTGTAATTGATATGCTAGATAAAAATGGAATTGCTTTTACTTATTATGCTGTGTATGTTGCTGACATACCTTCTCGAATACACACACACACACACACATACACAAAAAGTGGCAGAAGATGAATTATTTTGTATACTGTTAGAACAAAGCCATAGCTGATTCCAAGGCTGTTTCCACAAAATCCTTTGTATCTATATTCTTCTAAAAAATGCTACAATTTATGTTAAATATTATTGTTTCAGCTACCTTACCTATTCTAGCCATAACAATACACCCACGCCCATTTGCACACCCTTTCACATATATCTATATACATCCATTCATATGCCTTCCTACCTATCTACCTCCCGACCTATGGAACACACATTTAAAGAATAAGCAATTATGTACAAGAAGAAAGCATATTATTAATTTTCCATTGTTTAAAGAGAACAATATTGAAAAGCAAGGATACTCCTGTCCACTATTTAATCACTTCCTAAAGTAATGTGACTGAGTATTTAGGAATGTCCAAAGGTTAAAGTTGGAAGAACATTAAATCTGGTTGTATGACAATGGTCCTTGGGCTGACTATGATATCTAAATTACTTTATCTATTCAGAATTTTCCATTGCCCCAAAATGTAGCTTAGGTACATGGAAGTACCAGATAAAATTATAAAAGAATGTTCAAATGTATTTATATTTCATCTTTTTCTAAAGTATGTTCTTTTTAAAGTGTTCCTATTCAATAGGATTACAAGGAATCAAAATTTAAGAAGGAAAGATAAAATAGATTGAAAACAAATAAGTCGAAAAGAAAGAGAGAAGGACAATATTTAGTCTGTATGTGCATCTGTTGTTTCTGGATTGCAAAGTTGTCATAGACTGTTTTGGAAGAAAAAGTTTTTAAAAAACTTAAGGTATATGATAGATTATTTGCAGAAGACCCATGCTCAGTAGGCATTTGCCTATTGACAATTTCCTAATAATTGTATTATTCAGGGTAATGCGGATACAGGAAAAAAAAAGCAACTAAGTGAGTCAGAGCTAAAGAGATTTAAAGTTCAATTCCATGTATGCTTATTTGACAAATGCACATATTTTAAAGATCCTTATTCCCTAGTTTTCAGCTCATTCGTTTTTCAGTACTTGCAAAGGATTTCAAGGCAAAAAGTAGCACTGTAATATATGGACAGTTGGTAACAATAAGCAATTTAAGTCATGCTGTAGACATATTTTGAATGGATTATTTTTTTCAAGTAAAGAAGTATATAACACAGAATGCTACAATGCTCCTATAATTTGTATTAATTAGAATCAAGCCTGATTTCCGTTTAACCTTTCTGTATTGATTTATTTCATTCCTTTCATTTTTTTTCCTTTCCCTTTGCAATGTTCTTTCTTGCTTATGAGTTTTTTTATTAATTACTCTTGTTACAGTTTAGAAATGTGCATTGAATTCTTTTTTCCCTTGTAGAGACATCATCATTCTGTTATAACTGTTGCAATATTTTCATTTTCACATTGTGGTAAGAGATATATTTTACGTTGCCTCTCACCCACCCTCTTTGCCATTTATTATCTTTATTAGTGCAGTTTTGTGGCACTGAATGATGATATCTGCTTTTGTACCAAAAGGTTAGAGTGAACTGATAGTTCAGTCATGGTAACAGTGTTGCACTCTATCCCATGGATTACAAAGCCTCAAATCCCTGTGCAAGGTGCTCCTTCTGCATTGAAATCAATGTGTCACATGGTAACAATTAAACAGGCTTATTATTCAGCATCCATCAGTTTATTCTTTGAAGAGAAACAAACAAAATATCTATTTTTATAACTTTTAGCACATATTATAACATTTCAATCAGCAAACCTTTTGCTGAGTTTAACTGAGATGATGTATATTTTATTTATGCCAAATGACTTAGTATTTTCATAAATAGAATCATGCCGAAGACATCTATACAATTCAAAAACACTACATACCAATATACTGTTAGACAACACATTTTAATCTTAGTTACCCTGTGTAACACACACACACACACACACACACACACACACACACACACACCCCTTTCATGTAAAAACTGCACCCACAGGAGCAGAGCAACAGACTTCTTCAGGCTCAAAGGAATACATACTTCGTTTTAGTAAGTCTAGAACTGCTGTTAAATACTTCAAACTTATCAAAAGAAAAAAAAATACAAGCCCCAAGATCTCCCTTTGCTTTTTAAAAGTCTCGATTCTATTTCTTATTAACTTCTTATTTAAAATACCAGAATAAAAATGTTGCAAGCTAATCGCTTGGGAGAAGCCGCGTGTAACTGAGGAATCCTTTCCATTGATGGATGCTGAGGCAGAGGGAAGAGAGGAAAAGCTGAAGAAGGCGCAGGAGAACTTCTAAGTCTGTTTAAGCCTTGCTGACATTATTTCTCCCCACATCACGTGTGTGTGTGTGTGTGTGAGAGAGAGAGAGAGAGAAAGACAGAGAGAGCCAAGTTTGCCCGCTGCTCCCGAGGCAGAAAATCGAGGAGGACCATCAATGCATGAGCCTATTTTCAAACTGCATTTGGAAAGCTGTCTTATTATTGATTAGGGGGAGAAAAGGGGGTGGGCATAGGACTACGAAGAGATGGGAGGACCATCAGGCAACTGGCTCACTGCAGCTCAAGACATTTTCTTCCGGAAAGATGTCCAACGACTGAGATACAGCGACGGAGGAAGTAAAAAAAGATGGAAAACTAAGAAGAGGGAGGGAGCCTTCGAAAGAAATGAAGGCTTGGAGTATTCTCGAGCTGCTTCCCTTTCCTCTTCTCCCATTTTTTTAATTCTTCCTCCTCTTCTTGCAAGAACTAGAGGATGGGCGTCAGGCAAACCCTGCGGTCCAGCAGGGCGGTCTGCAGGAGGGCGGATGTTTGGAGACCACGCGCCGGAATGTCACTACTCACCAGGAGCGCAGTGCAAATGCCAGCCGAATGCCGTTCTTCTCCCCCCCACCCCCACCCCCGCCCCGCGAACAACCCCTCTGAGTCAGCAGCCGTTCTTTTGCCTTGCCTTGCCTTGCCTTGCCTGCCTTTGTGCGTGCGCGCGCGTCTACTCTTTTTTTTTTTGGTGAGGGGGGGTATTGTGCTGGAGCGCGCGCGCGGGGTCGCGTTCACGTCTCGGTGTCAGGAAAGCCTGTCTGAATGTGCGCGTGCATATTCATGGGAGGTAAAACCCACTCAGTCAGGGAGAAGCGAAGGTACGTTGGAGAGGAGCTAAAATCTTGACTGATTTCCATCTACCGAGCATCAGATGTATCCCCTAAGGAGGATGGGTCTGTGCAATAGGGATGGTGCAATTATGTTAATATATTTATGGAGAGGTAGCTGCTTTTTTTCCCCCTTCTTCCTAATTACTGGTTTGGTCAAATTGGTATTGGGAAAACCGTATTACAATTATAACAAAAAGCATACATAATGCTGCTGGTGTTTTTTTTTTTAATCGTTTCACGCCTGAACTTATAAGCATTCAAGCTGTGTTGGAGAGCAAATAAGAAAGAGTTATTTGCAACAGAGGATTTTGTCCTCATTCAAATGTTTCAAGTAATTGAACACCTACGTAACATAGTGTGGAAACAGGAAGAGGGGGCTGCAGAGTATGGAGAACCAACTTGAAGGGTAGAGGGGGGGGTTAATCACTAAAAATATTTGTCAAGATTTTTTTTTCTATAGCTTGTTTTATAACTTGGTATTCTAATTATTTTTCTCTCTCCTCCCTTCCCCCCAGCTGATCTGCATCTTGAAACAAGGCTAAGTGAGTTACATACACCAGACTCTGCTTAAGTGACCAGCACCCTTGTGGCTTCTCTGGTTTTTATTTCTTCTGCTGAACATCATGGATCTGTTCCTAAAGTAGACATATTCTTTTTCATTCTTCAAATTAAAATACTGAAGGCAAGGCTGAATATTTTCAGCACTCTGATTCTGTCATTAAAAGTCTTGGACTTGGACCAAAAAAAAAGATGGGAAGCAAGGGAGTATTTTTTATTTTTATTTTGCATGAAGATTTTTTGTTGTTGTTGAAAGATCAGGTGCTGTTCAAGTGATCTAGCAAAAAGAATAACAAGTTGTTGAAAGTCACTATAAATTTAAGGAGTGACAAATACTCTGGTGGATGTCACTTTTTTATACTAAATTTAAAAAATGTACTATAAAATAATCTGAGAATTGATTCAGTGGGAGAAAGTGGGAGTTAAATATATTCCAAACACATTCTTCTTACAGAAGCCTTTTAAGATCGGAATACATACTATGTTCAGGGCCCACTATAGAAATGCTACTAGAGAAATAAGGCTGAACCATGGATGCATTGTTTAAGCTATGGAAGAAAAGGAAGCAGATTCTAACCTGTATTTATTTCCTTTGACTTCTTTGGAATATACACATTTGAAAGCCTTATGCCTTAAAAATATAATCTCTGTTGCCTTTATGCAATAGATTTTTTTTTTCAGAAAAATTGAAAGTATATTTTGACAATATTAAAACTACTTGTTATATCTTCCAAATCTACTTAAATAAAATAACCACTAAACCCATTCTGATTAATTGAAGAAGAATTCGACTGGATCTTATCGGACTTTTCCTAGTCCCTGAGACCCTAACTTGTGAGGTTTTTTAGTAACAATCACAAGTCAGGCTCTTGGGACCTAGGCGGAGGGGAACCAGCAGCTTTGGACTTTATTGCTTAATTTTATCTGCATTGTTTTTTGTTTTGGTTTTTGGCCAAAGAGGAAATTATATGAAAAGGATGAATATAGAAAGAAAACAGCAGCATGCATAGATATGGTAGCATGTGCTGAAAAGATACATATTTTTATTCATTGTACTAAAAATTAGTGAAATATTTAGCAGTCTGAATTAGAGACATGCTATTTCATGGTTTGTATTTTAATAGTGCTAAGAATAATCAGTGTTTTTAATTTATTTGTTAATCTACAGCTTTATTTATAGGTTTTTCCTCAGCTTCCTATGTTCTACTTTTTCCAACCACTACTATGAAAAATCCAAAGTTTGCAGGCTGAAGCAAATGGTTTATGCATCAAAAATGTTCCAAGAATAATATTTTTGATTACAGTTGATCTTTTTTCTTTTTTTATTGTCCTTATCCTGCAGAATGATTCAGTATGTTGTTATATTTCCTTCCAACCGTAATTGTACAGTGCACTGGTTATTTATATTAAAGAAATCTGACGTAGAATTTGAAAGATTTGAAGGGGCCATTTAGACCTTAGAAGTCAACCTCACGGCACACAGAAATCTAAATGTATGATGAAATATTAATCCTCTGCTTGGACAAGTCCAGTACAGAGAGCCAATCACAGCTCTTGAGCAATTGCTTCCACTGCTCTTACTGTTAGGACATTTTTAGCATAAATCTGTCTCCCTGGAATATATTATTTTGTGTTCTTCCCTCTGGTATGATACAACAGGTCTTGGCATTATCAGTGACACCTTCCAAGGTACTTGTTTTATGATTTTTAGAGGAAGAACGTATCAAATCTCACTCTGTTATGTTCAGCACATTTTTCTAACCAATTAAGATTGTTCTGAATTTTGTTTTTGTCTTCTAGTATATTAGCTATTGCATCTAATTTTGTGCCAATTGCAAAATTTGATTTAAAAATCCCTTATGCCTCATCTAAGTAATTAATTAAAAAGGGTGTAGTGTGAACCTTGTGGCAGCTCATTTGACACCTCTTTCCTGTTTGATGAGGAGCTATTAATGAGTAATCTTTGACTATGATTTTTCAGCCAGCTATGAATCTACTGATATTTCATGACATGCAACTGATATAATGAAGCTACAATTCATAATGCAGTTATTTAACCCAAATCAAAGTATTCAATTAAATTGTTCTAGATCTATATAGAAGACAAAACCATTTTATCACAAGACATGGATAGTTATTACATTTAAACTCATCTTAATTACGGGCAATATTTTTCCAATGGATGTCAATGTTAGCATTCAGCAAAATAAACAGAAGTGTAA